TCGATGTTGTCCTAGTGCGAAAAAATTAATAACGCGCATGCAAATTGTGGAATTCTCCGTTTGAACTAGATTATACGTGATAAACGAGTCTGGAAAAAGAACAGGATCCTGTTTACCAGGCACGCCTTCGATCATGAGTTTATGCTTTTTCCAACAGATGCCGGTATGGTCGGTATTTTTCTCTTTCGATTAATACTGAACGTTTACACATTATCCTGATACATATATACATTGTGTTATTATATCAAATAAATAAATAAGTTAAATATAAAAGTCAGATTAAACTCAAAAACAATTCTTGCCTATTGATTTGTTAAAGATAAATTATCGATATCTGTGCATTGGAAGAAGAGGTCTCAACAAACGCCAACAGTAACATAGTATCAATGTTATCATTTCCTAAAGATAGTTGATGTTTGTTGAGATATTATAAGGAAGAACTTTTTAAAATGAAAAATTTAATTTAATTCTTTAATCAACAAAATATTGGTCGATTTGATTATTGCGATATGCCAGCGAAAGATAGACGAAATGGAATAGGAACAACATAAAAAGGACACGAACGATGCCTTGTAGAGAGGAGAGAGGAGAGTGAAAAAGATAGAGAGAGTGCAAGCGGCGAAAGTTTTCCAACGACAAGCTTACGGAAAAAAAAGGGAGATCGAAAAGGGGCTGTGCCCGTTGATTAGCGGATATCTTAATTACCGTGTACATGTGTGCGTGCATGTGTGCGCGCGCGATTGGCCTCACGGACTAATTAAATCGTAACTCAATCAGGACCTCGACCTGCCTCCTGCGCGATTTTACGAGCATGTACGCGCAGTTTGGGGCCCCGATACACGCGTACGTGTCGTCGTTGATGGGACATAGACGGTTTTAAAGCTCTGAATAATGCGCTTCGACTACCCCCGCTACCTCCCTTCACACCGCCGATCTTCCTCACGCGGCGCGGCGCGGTGTTTCCTTTTTTACTTCGCCTTCTCTCTTTGCACACCTTCCTTTTTTTCCGTCGGCGACCTCCGCACGTCGAGGCTGCTCTTCGACATTATATTCGCCTGGAATAAAAAGTATTGGTAATTAGCGATACCTACCGCCGCGTCTTGTCCCGCGTTGAACGATGTCCTCCGGATCCTCCTACTTTTCCTTCGTGTTCGGTTGAATATGAATTTCCAACGGAATAAGACGAACATGCGGATATTTGAGTATCGTTCGTTCTTGGTGGATGTGGACTGGACCAAATTTCACAGCGCAAAAGGACCAAAACGCGAGCCCTTGTCGTGCGTTTAATGCCGGACGTACGACGAAAAGTGGATTCTTAACTCGCATTTACGTACGAATAAAATGATCTCCGTACACATTAGACGAATAAAATTCAGTATCGGACAGCCATAATTACGCCGGGCATGCGGGTAAGAGGATACGAACTTTAGATACGAGTACAATAATTCACATTTCCTTTTTCATGCCACGATACTCGAGTAGGATAGCAATTAACTTGTAAGCCAATTGTAGCTATAATTACGTTGGAACCCAAGAGATGCATCGGATCTGTTGTGGCTGCGGTGTGTATCGCGTTTTCTGCGATACACGCAAAAATACACGGATACTCGCGAAGCGATATTAAAGCCGGAAGGTTATTCGAATTAAAGCGGCGTAAACTACACGAGGAGAATGTTAAATACAGACGCTTGACACTTTCAAGGACCCCTATACTTCGCGTCGCATTGCTCTTGTTCCTCAGACCCACGGAAAACACACGAACGCGATATATGTATTTATCGAAATGAGCTTCGAGGGCAATCTTGATAATTAACAATCTTTATAATTATACTTTTAAAAGGCTGATTTCCTTCTATTTTTTCACGGAAATATTGAAAAACCCCGGTTTTCCGAGTCCTTAAAACCATAAGTCTTTGTCTTTCAAATTTATATTTATGTGCTATCAAGCTTTGCGAGAAGAATTAAGATGAAATTAAGGATGATTATTCGTTCGGACCGAATGAGACGTCTCATTCGTGGCCAAACACATTTCTGTACACTCTCTATTGTATTCTCCGACTTTCTCTGCGAAATTCATTTCAATCACAATACAGCTCTCTCCCGCAGCCCACGGTATTGTTGCCCAATTACACGTTTAAAGCGCGTCATTATTATAACACGCTGCACGCGCGACGTTCACGTTACACAGTCAAGGCGTGTCATCGGAATAATACGAAAAAACGAGCCTGTCCTGAGCTTCACCAACGCCTATGAAAGCGGAACACTAATGAATTCCTCATCCCGTGCATATTGTTACACGCGCGTCGCCCAAAGTATCCGGCGGCTACCGTCTCTCGCGTGGTGCATTTATTAGAGCGAATAATGAGCCGCAGGTGCATAGGACCGTTCTCCTGTTGCGAATGCGGACTATACGTTTGCCCTTGTGTCGTCCGAAGTTGACATTCGTCGAGTCCTGGCATCGGTTAATTTAACGAACGTTTTCAAACGATATTGTCTAATAAACGTGTAGTATATATGCAGGTAATATTAAGTATTGTAACAACACAATTCCATGCTTTGAATCGATGTATTTTATCGTAAAACATTACATACGACCTCTGACTATAAGTATGACAGTTTAAAGAAAAAGCAATGTTTTTCACGTACACATAAGAAAACATAAAAAATATAATATTACAAACTACTTATAAAAATGCCGAAGTACATTTGCATATTGGTCTCTCGATCGGGAAATTTTTATACGATACAAATCTCCATCGTAAGAGTCATGAAAATCTCGAACTAGCTGTTTAGAGGATTAATTTTTTGCTTGTTTCTCTAGTTACCCTTCTCGACTTATTTTTGTACATCCAGTAGCGTTATTGTCTTTTAGCGGTTTCCCGGTGGACGAACCTGCTCCTTTTAAAAATTCATATTTTTCAAAGAAATGAAAGTATTTATATTTCACTGTTAAACCCGTCATTTTTAGTCATTATTCATGAAAATAACAAAAACATAATTACCTTTGTGAGTAAAATTACGTCACCATTCGACACATCCTATTTCTGTCTAGCCGTTGATTCTCTGGACATTTCGGTCTAGATGGGAATGCTATGATATAAGCAGGAGCAGCAGCAGCAGCATGCCTCTCTCTCGTGTAATCCTCCCATGAAAATGGGAGATTTTTGACGTTCTGACAAATCGTTGGTGACAAAACGGTTGTTAACAACGCTATCGTAAACAATATTTTCACGAAATATTTCATTTTTAACGCCTGTATTTCAGTTAAACGTTAGGTCGCACGACAGTAATTTTGACACGTTACTTTTAACCGGAAATCACAAAGCGATCACGGACGTTACAACCTCAATACCTCATTGAGACTCGTTACATTCTGCCAAGTTCCTTCGATCTACCCGCTATTTATAATCCGCCATCTCCAGATAATGACGTAAACTATGTTTCTACCGCCGCTGAATCGACTCGCCTATTAAGGTGTGTTTTAAAATACGAAAAAAGATCAACGAAAGAGAAACCGTCTTTGAAGATTATATCATGAATAATAATGAGTTATATTACTTAGAGAGAGATAAAAACATTACGTATTTAAAGCTTTATAAAAAATCGCATAACAATGTTCTTTTTATGCTTGATCTGATCTCACGTCTTTCACGGATTTGTTTCCGACGTTTCGTGAACATTCTATCAGTTCACTTCTTCAAGAAGAGAAACGATCTGATACTATCTTTTTTTATAATGTAAATTAAAGTTGCCAGCACGTATCGTTATATCGTCTACTCGAAATTTAACGGAAATTAATTGTAATTTCGTTCGACTTTTATTATCTATATTAAAACGTTTTTTCTTTAACATGGAACTAAAAATACAATTCTTTTTAAAATATGATTATTCTTTACTCATTTCTCCTATTTATTAGATCGCTTAATGAACCACCAGTTCGTCAACGAGGATGCTCTGGTGGTATCTATTTTTTTATTGTGCTTCTAATTAATTTAATTTTGTTGATAAAATCCGTCCTTCAAAACTACGGTTTGAAGATACTTTAGCAAAAATGACGGAAATGAAGAAACTTTTAATTACGAGATGAGTGCTTATGTAACGCTTATGTAACGGAGATCTGCGCACAATCAAGAATATTCCCAGCTAACAAACAAACGTTTTTTTTTTACTGAATAATGCGCTCGATCTCGCGTGTATCTCAGGAATACTTCATTATATCTGCAGTTATAGTGGCACCGGACGAACGTCTTAACTAATGTAGTAGATGGCAGAGACAAAAAGCGCGATATCAGCATACGTGAATTTTGTAACAAATTGGTGTATCGCTAACCGGTAAAGCCGCGCGAGACCGCCTCTCTTTATATTTATAATAGCGATCGTTATATCATCCTGATCGTTTTTCGCGGCACGGTTAACTGCTCCATACGCAAAGCAATTAATTACGAGTAGTCTGCATTAATCTTTGCAAATTGGAGCCGAAATCTTCGGAGTACGCCCCGCAATTTATAGCACTCCTTATTCATCAGATCTCGTAACAAAACCAAACCGTCCTATAAAACAAACGCGGTTTTCTTTTTTTTGAGCTCCCCCCGACTTGACCGGACAAGCCGGACAGAAGGAGGTAAGATCTTTTGTCTCAGGAGTGAGTATTACGCCCGCCTCGGCTGCCTTCCTATGAAATTTCTTAACTGATGCAAACCGGCGCATAAAGCGATTCGCGATATAATCCACGACTTCCTTCCGTAAACGTGATTATACGATTCGTGCGATTTTTCACACGTTACACGTGCGTCATTTGCAAAAAAAATGTGTACGAAGCTCAAACACTCGATGAGAATGAGCGAGACGTAGATTACTCGTTATCTTTTTATTTCACCAGTTCACGGACACAAGACTAATACGACTCCTTCGTTGATGGTTGAGAATGTTTTCGATTCCTTGAATTATAGCCGAATATCGCGATAAAATCATGTGACTGGTATCACGATCGCGTCAGTCACTCACTCGATCTCGTCAAGAATCGATTTCTGCGTCTCATATATTCTTTGGCAAGATATCGTCATCAGTTCTTGCTCCTTGGGTGTATACGACAGACGAACGAACGATTGCACTCCGTTTCTGCCTACTACGCACGGTAACGACATAAAGATATCTTTCTCTAGTCCGTGTCGGCAGCCCTGAAATATGTTTCATGTTTCTTATAAACGGAAAACGCCTACTATCTATAAAATTCGAATTCACGAATTTAATATATAATGTTTGCACATTAGCAGTATAAAAAAAGAGGATTTAGAGAACTTAGCAATATTTCAGCAATTTTCAAACACTGCTTAGAAATCTCTAATATCCTAAATTTACTGTCTTTTTCAAGATTTTTGACTTTCCTTTATCCTGATTAAGCAAAGGATTTTTATATTGCTGCGATTATAAAACGAGTTAGATAAATTGGAACGACGCTAAGCAAAAGCTTAATAATTTTCAATGAATATTATTATTAAACCTTCAAGAACGTCGAGACGGTAAAGCAGGCGCAAGTGTTGCGCACGATGGCATCGACTATCTCGCTCGCACAGATGCCCATTCCCCAACTGTGATAACCCTTTCTGGCGACCAGCTCTTTATCGGTCTCGATGACTTTAGTGTGTAAATCTCCCCAAGATTCCGGATCCGTTTTTGTACCGATTTCCTTGTTTATTTCCTTCAAAGGCATGCCCATACATGCAACGGCGGACCAAACTGGTACTGGTACGTATCCGAATATAAGCGAATGCGGAAACATTAACGAGTAATGAGAAAACTAATTAAAAAGAACGAAAATTATAAAATATTTATTACACCTTACGATATTTTTATTGACGTTCATTACCAGAAGCCGGTCCGCTCTCTCCAATGATTAACGCTTGAACCGCGCTCGCCGAAATCCCGAGTTTCTGGGCGATAAAATACTGAAATCTGCAACTATCCAAGAACGTTCCTATCCCGATAACGCGGTTCGGCGGAAATCCCGACAGTTTCATAGCGACGTACGACATGATGTTGACTAAACAGGAAAATCGAAACGATAATCCCACAAATATAAATGCGTTCTTTACCAGCATGTTTTTTTCAAGTGTCCGCCGTGTATATGGCAATTTATACTTCCGTATGTAGTTCTGTTGTTAATATAAATATTTTTTAACATATATGTAAGATAACTTGTTCTACGTTATTTTTATTTTTCGGAAAATATATGCACAGAAAAAATACTGTCGAGTCAGTGGAATTTTCAATAGCACGTGTGGTTGAAGTGAATCTTGATTTAATTGCGACATCATCGAAAATAATATTTTAATTATTGAAATAATACATAATGTAGTAATTTTAATGATACTTGCTATTGAATCAAGATTTATTTCAGTTCCGTTGCTGTTGGAAATTTTATTGATTTGATAGTATTTTTTTATTGTATTTTTTGTGTGCAATGCCGATCTGTGTGACAAATCGAGATGTCATACTCGCGTAATTTCTTATAGTGAACGTATCAGATGTGTGGTAGTAGAAAGTACCTGGCTTCGTGAGGATCAAAAGAACACTGTTCGGCGCGTATTTGCAGACGTTCGGGATGATGTCCTTGAAAATTTTCAGATTGTGATCTAGATAATCGCTCGGCTGCTGATCCTCATGAGACTGGCTTCCAACGGTGATCACACACACCGCGGCGTCTCTGGCGCAAGCGTAATCTATCGAAGCGGTAATATGCGTCGGACGATTTATCATTCGACGTAAAAAAACAATCGATCTTAAGTGAGAGTTTTTTTCTGTTGTATCGCAGTTGTATCCAGTTAAAATATATGTCCGACTAGAACGCGGAGGCATTTATGAATTTAACAAATGATAAATTATGAAAACAGTCAAAGTACCTCAATAGAAATTTCATTTTTGCATTTTTTAGATAGTTTAGATAGTTTTTGAGCATTTATTAGATAGTTATATTAATTTGTATTTAGTAATTGAAGAGTAAGATTACTCCTAATCAAGATATAATGCTTTTCCTATAATTACCGTGCACAAAATCTAAACCCATTTGCTGAACGAAAACAGAACAATAAATGGACAAAAAACTATTCAATCGATTAGTATTAGATTATAACTAGGCAAGTGTCTACGCAAACTATGCATATTTTTACCAGGAAAACTGCTTCAACCACTGAATAAAACTTTAGTCAAGTTCTTGTTCATTTTCTACATTATTGCAGTATTGTTACAACTAATAAGAGAGAATGCATTAATACTACGCAATAATTGTATGAATATCTAGGAAAATTGCATATATTTCCACCAGGACACTAATATGCCAAATGGGATTTATTTTATTGTCCTAAAACGTCCCGCGCCCACAATGCGGATGCAGCAACCTACGTATCATCTCCGGCGAGCTTATCACTAATCGCGACTGCGCGATTTACTTATCCGAACGTTAAAGCGCGGTCGTTTCGAGATAATTGCTCGTTACTCGCGGTTAGCGTAATGATGGTCTCGCTATTTTCCTCCCTCTCTCCGTAGCGTCCGCTTCTTCCGTCGGGCCTCACCTTTGGTGCCAATAATCCTCGGATCGCCGAGGTACGCCGCCGCGTGGCTGATGTCTTCTGCTTCCGCCTTGGCGAGGTCCTCGTTCGCGTCTATGAGGACGAGCTCAGAGGCGAGACGCTGCGAAAAATCACACGGAGGATGAACGAGTGTAAATAGAGAGAGAGAGAGAGAGAAAGACAGAGTAAGGTGATAGACGGAGAAGCTAGAGAGTAATTAGCGGCGGCCGTTGCCCAGCGGGCAGCGTTATTACGCACTTCGGATCGTTACGCAACGGACATCAGGCCCCCCCGGGAATCGCATTAAGGCACACGAACGAGTGCGCGATCGATCGCGCCACTCGCGAGATCCCCTAATGCGAGAAATCGTTAAGATCTGATACGGTGTCGATTGAAAAGCGGCGCCGAGACAGACGTCATTTTCGGAAAACGGCCAGGCCTCGTCAACTTGCTCGTAGTCGTCGTCGTCGCTGTTGCTGAAGACACTACAGACGCTTTATGTAAGACGATAACTCATTCGTGAATAATTGCGGGGCTGATGGGCGGTTTCTTCTCGTCCGTTTTCCGGGGGCTACCTTCTGTCGCTTCGGCAGCCGTCGCAGGATTTAACCGTGGCCCTGTCCGATTCGTTATGGGATGTCAAACGGGTATAAAAGAATGCTTCGGCGACCCCTGTCCTCACACGCTTCATTTTTCTCCGATAATCGTAGCTTCCTGGCAAATTCCTTTTTATTTTATATTCGATTTTAATTCGGAGATTTATTTTTATTCGGCGGGTAATTATTATCGCCTCCCTTATATATATATTTTTTTTTTTCGTGAATACTATACATTTATATATTTGTCTTAATATATAAAAATTGATATGTTTCATTAGATTGCCAGATGATAATAAAAGTCTAACGAACACATGCTTAAAAGACAACTGAGAGCTTAAATTAAGGTTACTTTGCTGGCTAGTTCGAATCTTTTTATTACCTCTACCGAGTCGCTTAAACACGCGCACAGCACTGCCTCCCGCGATCTGACGACCTCTCGGTAGGAGACAGACTTAAATGCCTGCGTATTAAATATCGACACAGATTTAGCCCGGGAGATACACAGATGACGTATCTCTCGCCGAGGGTTTTGTCCGGTATAATTCGCACAGCTTGATACGAGTGGTTCAGCGCTCTGCGCAGAGTGTCGCAGCGAGCAGAATAACGGGGGAAGGGGGAAGAACAAGAGGAAGACGGATGTCCCGCGCGTGTAGTCTCGAGGAACTTGGGGAACGGTAGATCCACGAGGTGGACAGTGGGCAGTCTTAGTGGTCGTACGCGTTCGTACTTCGCGATCATCTCGTTGATGCGATCTGCCGAGTTACGACGCGAGGTGCAACAGCATGGCACGACCGTATCTCTCGCTTCTTGCTCTCGTGCTCCTCTCGGCGAGCGTTCTCGCCGCTGAACGTTGCGACGTATCGGGACGTATCCTCGTGGTCGCGTCGGACAACCGAAATTTCGAGTCTCTCGCGATGATGTCAAACGAACGTTGAGAAAATACGCGCACCGCCGACTTTAATGAAAGCCGACTGTCGCGCGAGAGGAAGCCATTTGTCATCGTCGAAAATGAGCAGCTTCGAGAAAACCGACGGCATTAATTTCACGCGAGACACGCGCAATTTCCTTTAAAAACTGTTATCGTCCGCGGTAACGAGGTCTCTAATATTCCATCGTGACCTCTTCGATGAACTCCTCTGCATATTATTTAGAGTCTCTCTCTCTCTCTCTCTCTCTCGGTGCGCATCGCACCATCAGGAGGATAAGGAGACCATCGTCTCTGTCAGATACGCCCTCCGCGTACTGACGCATGCGAGCAGCTCCATTGTTTGCCCTCGTAAATTTGCGGAAACCGAAACCTAAAATTAGTCGCCCACACACGTTTATTACCTTCCACCGGAATATACCGTACGTATGGATCAGTCGACGTTGCTGCACCCTCGTAACGGCACGCTTCGCGTATTCCATCTAATTCGTTACATGCCGCCGTGATAAATCCGGCGCAAGATTACTTGAATAATGCGACGATAATATACGGCCTTGTTTAAACCGTAATAGAATATTCGGAATTTCTCTGCATTTCTTTGCATTATTCTTAATTCATAAAGAGACCAGGTGGAACATAATTCCACGTCAGTAGCCGCTTCACGAAACTTTCTTTCGGGAATCTTTTTAGTTCGTGACCGGCGAAGTCTCGAAGCGACTGCTATCGTGTGTAATAACACACACGTACGTGCATTTCGCGAGGATTGATAAATTTCCGGCGTTCCTACGTTTTACAGGCCGCTTCCCCTTCGTAACTTACCGACATAAATCAGTCGGTCGGCCGTTCCACGGGGATGGCATAGTCGACGTGTAAATGCTCGCGTTACGATCCGATAACGAGCGAAAGGATGCACGGTCCGCTTCTACATCTTCTCTGTCGTCCTCTTCTTCCTACTTCCCTCCCGCTTCCTCTCCACCATTCTCCGCCCCGTTCCGCCCGTCTATTGCCGAATTCCCTCTTCTGGTCTTCCGTGGATCATTTGCATAATAGCCTTTTTGAGCGGGCACACTAACGAGCCTACATTCAGGACTCCGTCCTACGTAAGCCTGCACGTATACACGCTCACGAAGCTACACGCGTCGGGACATTCCCCGTCCCGTCGTCCTTTGTTGGGTGCAACTCGAAGTTATCTCCGGAGATCCGGCCAACGTGCAGTATTATATTATACTTTTGACTCAGCCGAACAAATACGAATTACCTGCCCGAGCCACGTGGATACGGTGCTATGTCTCATTCACGCGGAATCATCGCGGACATGCTTAGATTGACGTATCGGGCGCATTACCGTATCGCCCGGCGGGACGAGGCACAATGCACGAGTCGATTACGCGCACGCACATTAATCAACTTTGATACACACGTTTCTCGTAGTAGTGAAATGTACATTCGATGAGGTCTATTAGTATTGACGCTGACGTGTATGTGTCAGAAGCTTTGTGGACGGTTAACTATACGCGGAATGTATCGTGTGCGTCTCGCCGATTTTCTGTTCTACACTGAAAGAAGAAGCGATATTCAAGTAATCTGTTTGATTTCAATACGACGGTTGCTCCAATATTTCTTGACAAATATTTATTCGAAGTAGAAATATAATTGACTATATGCGATATAATATTTCCTTCATACAAGTAGATCCTCACTTGTACCACGTTCAAGTAAATATTTACTACAAACTACCAAAATATATTTAAATTGATGAAGTATTACTTATGACTTAAGAGGCTGAGAAACAGATAATTACATTAACGTTCTTCTGTGCATACTTGAAGATAAATTATATTATAAACATGAGATATATATATGTAGAAAAGGTATATCTGCGGTAAGATACGTATAATAATAATGAACACATAAAGATGCGCGTGATCGTTGATTATGAATTATATAATATAATTTAGTCGTTACTATGACATGTATCACGTAAAAGAAGGTTAGAAAATAAGAAAGAAATCGGCATTGCAGCAAGCTAACCTTGGATAGAATCGCTATAGCGACCGCGACGCCTTTAGGCGCACTTCCGACGACGACGACCTTGATGCGATGGCTGTCCACAAGATGCTCCGCCTGTTTGGTCAGTAAAAAAGTCACCGTGTTGCCGGCGATGTCAAATGGCCTCCTTCTCGATTCCGTCATATTCGGTGCACCGATACGTCTTTTCCTCGCCTCGATGTGAGCACTAGACAGTTTACACGAGCCACACGCCGCCTGACATCTCTCCGGTCGGTACTCCGTGAAATTTTGCGCTCCGTTGAAACTCACGCAAGATAGAGGGCAAGCCGGAAAAACAGACAGTCGACATGAAAAAATACTCCTGACAGGAAGACGGTGAAGTTGACGGCGGATATGTAGCAAGTAGCTTCACTGTCGATTCGAAACGGCTACGGTAAAATTGGATATGCAATAAGATGGTCGAATTGCTTTTGTATCATGGAACATGAGAGAGCTCTCTCTCTCTCTCTCTCTTCGCCTCCGATGTATCTTGTACGTTCACGATGTACCGTACATACGAGATGTGAACCTCCGGTTATCTCCCATAGCCGGAGATATACAATCCGATTAACACGTTCGATCGCGAACGAAAAGATACTATCGATGAATCCAATCGCGCTGTACAGAATCAATTATCAAGTCGGAAAAAATGCTCGTTACGAAGTACAATACGAAGAAGCGAGCAGATGTAGGGGCGAATAGCCAAACGGCCGACGTATCGCCCCGTCCGCGCTTTTTGTTTCTCCGTGCTCGCGAAATTATTGATCGACAGCTGTTCGATTCGCACAGGTGGGGCGCGCCGTTTCTGTTAAAGGATCAATTTCCGTTTTGCGGGACACCCGAGAAGGGTATTCGGAATCGATTTTCATTTCCCCCCAACTCGAACCTAATTCGTTATCGTCGCAAATACGTAAATTTATTTCACATTTGGACGATCATTCAGTTCCCACGATTGCTGCTCTTTTCCGAAAGAGTGAAATTTGTAGCCCGTGCAAGCTCGACGAGCACGCTCGTAAGCTACACGCATCGAACGGAACGATTTCACTACGTTATGGGGTAACATAAAAGCTAATGTAGAAAAAGGTTGTAGTTTAAATTATCCAATCTCCCTTAGCCGCAGCTCTCAAGCCGTATACTTGCTTCGCGTGCAGCGGAGAATGCATTTTCATCCGACCTCTCACCTTTCTGCTGTGCATCGTTCGGCTGCGTAAATCAAAATTCGATCGAGCAAAAAATGAAGCGATAGGTAATAAGCTCCGCACGCGTGGTACATTGTAGCGCGAGCTCCGTGTAACCGATCGCGAGTAATCTTAGGAGAGCACGGCTGCTTTAATTTTCCAGGAAGTCGAGTTTCACTACTCGTGTATATCGTTTATTATGGCGCTCGAATGCACGCATGCGGAAACCGGTCGCCAGGTGCAGAATCGCCGTTATTGATGAAGACGCGTTCTAAACCGTTGTCTTCTCTCTCTCTCTCTCTCTCTCTTCTGCTCCCTCGTGATTTCCGTCGTATATTCGCTTGCGCAGATCCTCCACCTTTCTCGCCCTCTCCTCTTCCCCGATCGTCACTTCTCAACGTCGTTCGTTTCGCGAAGAATGCCGCACTCGCGCAGCACACCGCGGATGTTGTCGGCGCACTGTTGCACCGCTGCCTTTTCCTGATCGTTTAGCTTCTGTCGCACAGTGGCGTACACACCCTCGCGGCCGAGAACACAGGGTACCGACATGTACACGTCCTTGTCGGTCCCGTGGGAACAGCTCTGCGAACAGAGATTCCTTCAGCTTGTCGCTCCTGTCGAGCCGATCGACATGCGAATAAGCGCGTCTCGGAGCGCGTTCGTTTAACGCGCGAATGTTTGAGTCTCGGAAAAGGGCTGCAAGAAGTGCCTCTCGAAAATCGATCGAGTCTGGAGTAGCCGTAGGATTGATATACCGGTAGTCATTTTCCAATTGAAATTTTGCGCGCGATACGAATCAATTTGACATTTCTATGCAATGCTATTGATTCCAATTTCTCCTCGCTTTTGCATTGGATCTCCAATCAACTGCATTGCATTTATATTCAATTTTGGAATTATATCGGAAGCAAAGGGAATATTTTCTATGACGTTGCGGAGAGACTCTGGCTCGTTTCCTGAATTAGATTGTTAACTCCTTAACGCACGGTTTTCTTGGGTTCAAGAACAACTAGAAGAATGAAATAGTGAATATTGAAATAGTTTTTCAGTATTGTGTTTACGATAACTTTAGTGTAATTATGTTTCACGCCCGAACTAACACGAGCACGTGCATCACGGTGATATAAAATAAAATAGTACCTGAGTTAACTGAGATTTTTGCACGTTAAGGGATTAATTGACACATTCCTGTATGAGGTCTTGATGAAAATAATACCGCCGTTAAGCCGTTAAAGTCCATTTAATGTTTCCAGTAACTTTTCCGAACGTTCATTCAATTATATCTCTTACGTGTATGTACGTCGACACTGGCAGCACCATTTTGGTATTCCTGACTATAGCGTCTATTATTTCAGCGGTGCAGAAGCCCAGGGCCCAACAGCTCGGCCCTTTCTCGCCTTTCCTCCGATTAAGCTCAGCGTCGCTGTAAACGCGATGTGCATTTTACTACTTCCCTAAATTCTCGCGGGAACGTCCGACGGTCTTAGCCACTGACGTTTTATTTACAGCTTCGGCGATGTCACGCCACTTCTCAGGATCGTCGGTTTCGCCCATTCTTGAGTTTATGTCGCGTATCTTCGTGCCCGCCACGTGAACGCTTGACCATATGGAAACTGTGTGAGAAACGGATGTTAAAGGTGAAGGGTCGCCGTTAACTGTTAGGCGAGGTCGTTTTACGCGAGCTCGGCCAAAATATACGTGATACTTAAGCACGATCGGTATTTACCGCGCAACGATAAAATCTCCCACGTGTATTTACAATGTTCGGGCATAATGATGATAACGAAGCAAACGCGGGGTATACGACTTCTATCGCGGTCCGAGTGTAGTCGTGTAAAAAAAAATAATAAATAAATAATAATAACGATAAAAAGAAGGATCGATCTCAGCTGGCAAATTAGTCGTGCGATGTCGCTCACATACCGGACGTGTCGCCCTGCGCGCCGATATTCATGCAGCTAATCGACTTGCGCGCTAATCCCAACTTCTGACTCAGTAAATCCTGCAACCTGCAGCTGTCGAGCAGAGTCCCCGTGCCGAGTACTCGGCTCGAGGGAAACTTGGACAATTTCCAAGTGATGTACGACATCACGTCGATCGGCTGACTTACAACCAGCAACACCGCCTTACACGCCAACTTCGCGATAGTGGGGATGATCTTCTTAAACACCTCGACGTTGTGTTTCACGTTCAATTCCTCCGCCGGCTTCCGCTCGCAAACCGCGATCACCACCACCGACGAGTCCTTCACCTTGTAGACGTCTGAAACCACCGTCTTCTATCTTAGATCCAACGTAGGGTTTCCAAGTACGGGCGCGCATTTTAATTCCCCGGGACCCCTTTTCCCGACGGGGAAACAGCGAGTTAAGACATAAATTTCACCGGAACCTTCGCGGAGGACACTCGGCTATCTATGCAAAAGAAATTCTAACGGGAAATACCTCCGTTAAGAATCGGACCTTCCGAGGAATCTCTCTCCCTCTCTCTCTCTCTCTGAAACGTCTTATTCAACCGCGCAATCATCAGCTACTCGGAAGCACGTGGAATACAAAACGACGAGATAGGATAAGAAGTTTTCTCCCCTTTTCAAGGGAGAGAAAGAGATTCACCATCAGCGGAGATGCGCCGATAAAGACGACGAGGAAGACAATCCGGCGCGGTCGGAAAAAGTAAAGAGTACAGATCCGAGGCAACACCTTCACAAAGTGCTTGTAGTACCACAGCGGTACCGCGCGCGGCCATACGAAAGATACATTTACGACGGAGAGATGTTGTTACAGATAACTCGGCAAGCCCGTAAAAAAGTCGTCCCACTTGTTCCGGTAATTGCTACCTCGCACGAGACAAGATCGGGAAGAACCGATTCCTCTATCCTACACGTACCGAATGCCGGCCAGTCGACGCCACTTTTATCCGCATCGGCGACGGAAAATTCGTACCGAAATCGCTGCCAAGGTCAGGCTAACCCGAGCCGAGAGAAACTAAGTCAGTGAAGTTAGCATTGCGAAATGTGAATTTTCCTCAAATTAGAGCGATACAGATTCTATGCGCGTGCTATTTAGCTGATTATTATCAAACGGAGAAAATCTCCAGTTCGTTGTAATTAAATAAGCATCATTCTGGTTCGCCTTGTCTCGCGCGGAAAAATCCCCACGAAGGATACGTCGTTTTTACAAGCGACGAGCGCGTTCGTCGGACGCGGTAACCGCGCGCTGCGGAGAAGGAAACAGAAAACCGCACCGTGGAGTCGATCGTGGCCGAGATAAATAAGAGTAGATGAAATTTACGAGCGTGTCCGTGAAAAACCTCAAGGAAACCTTTCGTTCGACTCGGTTCGCCGGGCGCTTATGCGAGCGCACGGCGATGTAGATGAGAATCGAGATTAAAAGACGAGCCCGGAGGGAATCCCGATCCCCGAAACTCGTCACGTTAACCCAAAACCGATTTCCCTCTGCCCGTGCGCGAGAGCGCCCGTTGTTTCTGATCCGCTGCACATTGACAGCAGCCTTTTGATGGGTAAACTGACAGGTCGTCGCTTAAAACGGACGTCGATCGGAGCCGACGATCGCGACGCGCGATTGACGCACGGTCGACGCTCGGCGAGGCTCATCAGTCCGCACGTATCAATCTAAAGTTTCTGGAATTCGGGCCGCGTCGTGAATCAGACCGTCTCGTTCTTAACGTCCGGAACTTCCTCGATAGGTGCTTATGATTCGTTGGTCCCGTGATCGTGAATGGAACATGACGACGGGATCATTCGGAGTGTGAATCACTGTGACAACTTCAACGCCGGGTATAATTTGACACTCCGACCGACGGAGTGTCCTCTCGAAAAATGATGTATGATGATGCAGCGAGAAGAACTACCGTTGGGATAATAAAAAATTGTTATCATCATTTTTATCTCTCGCGACGGTACTGCCTAAATTTCGGAATCTAGCGCACACACAGTGAAAAATTTTGTATTAACAGACAATTCACTGAAATTTTATGTTACCTTAACATTGCGTTTGGATACTTTTTAACGCAAATTTTTACACCCCATGTTAAAATAACAGAAGATTTCAGTGGGCCATTTTTAACACAAAATTTTTTACCGTGTATAAAAAGTTATCACACACAATTATCTTCTTTAAGCCTTCATAAATACATTTATACAATGTCTAATGGAGTAAAGTAATATTTCTGAATGGTTGATTTCAGTCTGTGGAAAATCGATGCGGTGATTTTCGCCTTTTATTATACCTTCTCCCTTGGATATCAATCTACGGCGATAAACCGCCGAATAATGATGCGTAGCAAGTTTAACGGCTAACGAATAATATTTTAAGGCCCATATAACTTCTCGTCCTTCGTGGAGCGTGAATTTACGAGCGTGCCCAACACGAGGTTCGATTAATTGAAACGTAATGGAAATACCTGATGTGCCAGTCACAAGCGGGCATCCCAGAAAGACACCAGCGTGTTGAATGTCTTCGGCTTCGGCGGCAGCCCTGTCCGAGTTTTGATCGATCAGACAAACTTCGCTCGCTATTCGCTGAAAATCACGCGGGATAAAATCATCGCTCGCACATGACGGTGGGTTACGTATCTCGTCACGTGGATATACTGACTTTCATCAGGAGCGCGATGGCGCAAGCCATGCCGACTTTCCTTATACCCACGATCGAGACTTTGGCGCCGTGCGGATAAGCGTCGCACGGTCCTAAGTGCCTCGTTATTAAAGCGTTCTTCGTGGTAGTCGTCGTGATCGAGGTCTTGTCGATCTATCAATTATCTCATGTCAAATATAATGCGAAACCGGACAAATATTCGTGATTACGCCTGTTCATCGGATACTTCATCAGATCAAGAGATTATTCATCGCTTGATCGAACAATAAAAATAACAATCAGACGTATCATTTAATCGGCTTATCCAATGGAAATTTGTCTCAATGTGTCCAATTGCGTTAACGAGCGCACAACGTCGCTGCAGACGCTTCAAGTTCTGCACTCAACAAAATAGAAAAACGTTACACCGAGCTTACGTCATCGTTTTCATTCTCATCTTGCGTTTTGCCGTCGACCATGCCCTCCCCTAAAATATCCTCCCTTCTGGGCACGTCAGATTCTTCGTCGGCCATGCTGTGGTCGTTACTGTTGCTTCACCGAACAGCTGCGCGATAGTCGTACGTTTAATGAAACAGCATGGTCACGTCACTCTAGTTATATTTCTTAGCTACTAGGCGCGCTCTCTCTCTCTCTCTCTCTCTCTCACCTTGCCCGTTCGGAAGGAATTAACGCTTTCGATATATATCAGCCGCGGTGTTTCGTCACTCCCTCATTACCTGAATCGCGTGACTTCCCTTGCCCACGTTATTAACCACGCAGATGCTCGTCAAGGTGGTCGCTTCTCAGGAAGGGGCTTAAATGAGCAGCTCGCGCGAGTCGTCGTCGCTCATGCAGATCCGGATCGACCTACGCAGAAACGAGTCATCGGTTTTTGAGGTGAATCAGGTACCTCCGTTATGAGGAAGAGAGAACGTCCAGGGACGAGCGGGACGGGTGAAGGGAAGGAGGGGAACCCCACGAGAAACTCTAGCTGGAAGAATAACGGCGGAACTTACCCGCGCGCCTCGCTGTAAATTAGCCGCAGGTAGTCGTCGTAGAAACGCAGCGCCTACCCCTCTCCTCCCCCGCGTCGTTGTGCGCCACGTCGGTGTACCGTCGCACGGGTATACCCACGCGCCTCTCGGATCGCGCGCGTGTGCGCAAGCGCGTAAAACACGCTGCGCGCCGAGACCTATTAGTCGGTCATGGTGAATGAATACGATTTTAATGACTGTTCCGAATGAAATAATTAACCCCGCATCGTGCGCTAAATCATGCACGACCGTCTTAACGCCCGAACGCGTATCCGAAGGGAGGGAACTCCTGTCGATGGTTTGAGTAAATTTTTCCTCGAGGAGACGCATCTACGACGACGGGAATAAACCTTTGGTAGTTCACGACACGGAAGCCATTATCGTGATATGTTTCGAATATCTCCTCGCAGAACGCGGCAACCCTCCGTGCATCCCTTGAACTCTTATTCCTCCGAACACCGATCAATAATCGCACTTATCTCGGTATATCTGTAACCGGCGGTGCGCTCGTTAACTTACCGCGGCCGCCCCGCTATGGGAAGTTATGCAAAGTGAGGCGTCCGTCCGATTTATCGGAGACAGTGCCCTTGCAATTTGACGGGCGCGGGAACGTTCCAACATTTACTTTCGGGACGAGCGGATTATTAACGTCAGCCTGCTATTTTATCTCCGAGAGACGAGTCTAAAGACACTCCGGGCGAGACACACGCGATGCCGTCCGTATATAATTCTTCGCCGATGTACGCGTTGAAAGTAACTCCTCGCGGCCGCGATATAATGGCCGAGCGACAATCTTGGCCGTCTGGAGGAAAAAAGGGAGCAGCTGAAAGAGCAAAACTTTTTCCATTTACTTTGGTGCCCGCCGATAAATCACGGCGCGGCTCTGCATTTAGAAGTAGCGTACGAGGCGTTCCCGGTAGTTCGGGGGCAGCGCGGTTTTTTAACACACATTCGAAGATGGATCTGCCTCTCCGGAGGAGTCTCGTTTTTCGCGCTCGCACACGCATGCACGCGCGCACACGTACGCAGGGCCGGGCCGTGCGATCCGCGCTCACACGGACACATTCAATTTTAGCGTTAATAATCGCCGGGAAAAATGACGACCTTAAACGCGGCCATTCATCAGGGCCGATCGATATTGCGAATGCGCCTTAACGACGGAGAGATACCATCGACCGTCCAACGCTGCAGAGTTATTGAATCGCGTCAAATAATATACGAGCCAATAATGTATGAATAGTCCTGCAATTATGGCCCGCCGATCGTATCTAGAGGCGCGTTTGTAATTTAGTAATCGTTCATTCTCACTGCGCCGGACCGGAGGGATCGCGACGGTGCCCGAAGTTTCGGGAAAGGAAGCGGCGCGATCGCTTTAATTCGCGCGATTCCGTCTCGATAGAGCGCGGGCACTCTCTCTCTCTTTCTCTCTCCCTCTCTCTCTTTCAGTACTGCGGTCCCTCGCTGACTCGTCCGCGGTTCTCTCGCAACGGTTATCTCTCGCTGTAGGTTGCACTCGGATTGTAATAGGATAATACGTTTTGCACCTTTTTTCATGACCCCGTGACGCTCGCGGCCATTCATAATACCAGTTAAAATCGGTATCTACCAATTAAACGATTTCCTAATAACATCCACGCCGGAACGGGGCAGGTGAGGAAGTAATTTCGTACCTGACATTTATAGTTAGAGCACCGTGAGTGCGAACGAGAAGCGCCCTGCTTCCAGATAATTAATTCTCCGCCTTAATTAATCACCCTGTGAATTTTATTGAGCGTCGAGGTCGCGAGACAATGTGCGCGCTATCGATATAGCTCTGTTGCGGGCGCGCACGAGTCTCATCCTCGACCCGCGACGAAGCTCGCCGATCGATATCTGGGCGATCTTCGCGATCCCCGGCTCGTGCGTTCGGATCGCTATTGTAACCGCGATGCCCAAACGTTAAGCGCACCGAAGAAAGGGAGAGGGAGAAAGAGAAAGAAGCAGCGAGAGAGAGGAAGAGAGAGAAAGGCAGGAGGACACGAATCGAGCGCGATAAAGGCGTGATTCGACGATAACGATGTCTCGTGAGGCAAGATTTAGTCGAGTGGACGGTGCAAACGAGCCTCCGCTTACCGCGAGGATAGTCCTCGAAGGTTGGTCGTAAGCAACCGATCTTCTGGTACCCAGACCGAGTCAACCGATCCAGACACTGGCTCGCGCATGCCTTCGATGCACAATGGTTGGTGGTACTGCAGCTGATACAAGTATGTTCGCCGTGCAACCGGAATTTTAATTGGCTATTTGTTTGTCCGCTACACTTCGTGGAGCTGCTATTGTCCGCCTTGCCGCGGGAGAACGACCATCACCTTTCTTTTCCCTTTCTCTCTCTCTCTCTCTCTCTCTCCCTCTCTCTCTCCTCGTCTCATCCCTTCCTTCTTACTCTTCCTTCCGCCGCTCCCGCTTGCTCTTCTCATCGGCGCGTAATCTACTTTTAAGAAAAGAAACGCTCTCTCGATAGGGTAGCCACTTCAATACGCTAGAATTGTTACGTTTAATCCCTGAAATTAGGAATCTTTTTTCGGAGCGTCAAGCCAGCGTGAAGAAAGAGTCGAGAATTAATTGAATTTTTAAGGTCGAAATACTCGCGCGTGTGCTCGCCCGTGCTCGATTATTCGCCGCGTTAAGTTGTTCACGAAACGATATTTTGTAAAGAGCGCACTTTTCAAAACGGTTTAACCTCTCGACGCGCAAACGATCGGGATTACAAAATTTCGTGGTAATTTTTGCCACAATATTTCCCCCGTGGATCTTAATTGCATTGTAAATATAATCAAGCGACAAACCGTGCGTCACGAGGTTAATTTTTTATTCTCGCTCCTCCTCCCCTCGCGATATTAATAAGTATTTCTTCAACTGTTCCGAGAGACATTATTTTCGTCCCGAGCGTATGTCTCGCGCGGGGATTTAATTTAGCGTGCACGTCTCTTTTTCCCGTTAATGCGCTCTAATAAATTAGGAAGTCACAGGTTCGCCGTTTGATTTAATCAACGGTGCAAGAACCGACACGGTTCAGTTGTCGTATGGACTGCCCGAAGCGGAGCGAGGAACGTCGCTTGCGACCAGGACCGGTGCTTTTTGCACTCTCCCCGTGATATTTATTCCAATTAAAATCTTACCTCTATTTTAGGCCAGCTCCGAAGGGGTATCGGCGAGAGGCTTAAATGAACGGTTGAAAAAGGGTACATACCGCGGCCGTGAGAGAGAAAAGGAAGAAGAAGATACCGTGAATCGAAGGTCACGAACGCGGAATCGGTAGTCCGACGGACATTATCGCGCGTTTCCGCGCGCGCCTCCGTTGTATTGATTAATCGGTCCGCTGTTCGCGCGATTCATTCCCACCGCGGTAATTGTGGACCAGAATGAGCCGGGAGATCGACGGCGCGTAATCTCGCCGGTGATCGCGCGCGACACCAAAAATTCGCCAGCACTCAGGCTTTCAATCGAACACGCGAGATCCCGGGGCGCAACGGATCTCGTAGGAGGTCGGGACTTAGAGTGGTGCCCCGGCCACGCGGTACGACCCCCGTGGCTCGCTGAAATATCGCGCGGTTCATTTCGATATTCCTGGCCCTGGGGCCTCGATGAGAAGAACTCTTCTCGGGATCGGGGCGGCAGAGGAGGGTCCGGCGAGAAGACCTCTCGTTTTATTACATCGCATCGGCGAGGGGCGAGGCCGATGCGCAATTGTTTATGCTCGTGTCCCGCCCTATCGGACGCATCGGACACATTCGAACGTACCTACCACGTACACGCCGTGAACGCGCCGCTGAAACGGACGTCGTACGCGCGCGCTCACCGAGCGCCGTATATATACCCTCTCTTCCTCCTCTTCCTCCTCCTCCTCGCGTCCGTGCTCCACCTCTTTGTTTCTTCGTTCAGGCTAAGATTATTAATGGCCAGACCGAGGCCGATACCCCGAAGTGTCAGCCTCGTGACAATGACGAAGCTCGCACCTCCAGTCCACCCTCCCTTTCCCGCGCACTCGTCGGAGGA